GGCCCATTCATATGTTAATATCTCGGCCGGTACCGGGACAGTGCAGGCTGCAGGAACAGCACCAGCAAGCTCCGGAAAGAGTACAGAGTAGAGAGAGCTGGGGGAGGAGGTGTTTCTCTGGCCTCCCCCACCAGCGCCCTCTAGTGTCTACTGTGTGGTAGTGCCGGCTCTGCTCACTACCACACAGTAGACACTGCTCTGCACAGAGTCGCAATAGCGGACCGGCCCGAACACAATCAGGTTAATTGTGTTTGGCCCGGCCCACCGGGCAAGTGCGCGGTTTGCCCTATGGCCAGTCCGGCCCTGACTACAGTATATACTATCCTTCATACTTTTATTTTAAATACAATCAACCATTTTGTTGCCCAACAGGTCTGCATCTGAATCTTGGATATTTCATAGGTTTGACAGTATCCTGTTTTTAAATTACAATCTTTCTCAATAGCTAATCACTTTAACCGCCTCCCGGCCAGCCGTTGTAGAAGAACGGCCGGCCGAGAGCTTCCTGGATCTGATCAGCCATCTAAGGACAGCCTGTTGGCCCTGTCCACTCGCGCGCACGGGAAACTGGCGAAATTTAAAAACAGGTAGCGATGCCTGTTTGCATACAAGCAATCCGCCGGCTCTATCGCTTGTATAAGGTGCCGATCATGCGCCCCCTGTCATCTGGTCCCCGTCAGCTGGTGCAGCCCCCCCTCCACTGGTCCCGAGCTCCGCTGTGCCCGGTGCGAGCCCGGGACCAGCATGGTGGCTCTGTGACAGGGGATCAGAGGGAGATCGGTACATGATCTCCCTCCGATACCCTTTTCGCTGTCAGAATGCGGAAGTGATGTATATTACATCACTTCTGCATTCTTGTGTCACTGTCCGGCTTCAGAAGCTGGAGAGAAGCTGATGCAGCAGTTCTCTGCTTCATCAGCTTCTTTGGGGGTCCCTAGGTGACATTAGGGGTCTTGAAGACACCTGATGTCTCCATAAAGAGGACCTGTCACATCTCTTTGAGGATTTCTTAGCCCCCTATGTGATAACAATAACGTTAAGTGGAAAAAAAATAGGAAAAAAAAATAAAAGTTGCAAAAAAAAAAATTAAAGTAACACATTATAATAAGAATTATATTAAAAAAACTCAATTTTTAAAAAAGTCCCCACCCATACATACATGCATGCAAACATGCGTCAAATATGCATGCGTACATGCATGCATACATGCGAAAATGACGATTGCGCCCATTAAGCCGCATGTGTTACATATCACCGCGAACGTCGCAGTGAGAGCAATATTTCTAGGGCCATGAATCACTGACAACACTAAACTGATGAGTGGTAAAAAGCTTTTAAAGCGTCGCCCATGGTCAATTTTGGGTATGGTAGTTTTTTGCGATTTCGCGGGTGCGCCCAATTTTAAGGCTTGACATGTTTGGTGTCTATTTACCCGACGTGACCCTGTCTTTTATATTTTACCAAAAAATTGGGTAATAATAATTGTTTTCTAACATAATGTAAAAAAAACTTTTTCCCCAAAAATTTTCAGTAATTTTTCCTTAAAATAGTAAAAAATAAAACCCCCAGTGGTGAATAAATACCACCAATCGAAAGCTCTATCTCTCCCCACAAAATGGTATAAAATTAATTTCAGTACAACGTTGCATGATGGAATAAATGTCAGTCAAAATACCGCAGCCCTGAATACTGAAAAATGGCCTGGCCAGAAAGGGGGTGTAAACACCTGGTCTTCAAGTGGTTAAAATAGGTTTTCAGCCAAAACATGAACCTGACAGAAGATAACCTTGTCTCCCTTTATGCGGAAATAAAAAATATATGCTTTTCCTGTTGTTTCAATTTAAATAGTCCACCAGCTTACCTGAGGCAACTTCCAAAGCCCTAGCACTCTTGCTATTGCCATTGATGATGTTGATAAATCTCCAATGATAGCTGGGACAATGGGTTGCGGTCCACAGTTGTAATTTGGGATGCGGTGTCGATCCCCTGACGTCACCTGGATAGTTGCTTGCAGAGCAGAGGCCTCAAAGAAGCATGAATCATACATCTGAAACCCCAGTGTGATGTTAGGCAGAAGATCTGGGTTTTCATTGACTTCTTTGGTGGCAAAGACTAAAGCAAGGCTGGACTTGTAGAGGTCTGTCCGAAACCTGGGTTAGGGTAATATTAAAGAAAAACTTCCATATAGATTTCAAACATAAAAAAAGGTCTAAGAATACTGTATTATAACATATAAATTGATAACTATATTGGGGGGAATTTATCAAAACTGGAGCAGACAAAAACTGGAGTAGTTGTGCATGGCAACCAATCAGCTTCTTTCTTCAGTTTGTTGAGTTGCGATTTGAAAATGAAAGAGAGTAGCTGATTGGTTGCCATGCACAGCTGCTCCAGTTTTGATACATTCCCCTCATTGAGTTTTAAATGATAAGGTTTCACCTGAAATGTATATCTATCCCAAACTGAAATATAACTTTTTGACTGTTACTGGAGAATTAGAACCAACTACCATTCTTTTTCTAGCTCTCATGTGCTGAGATCCCAAGCCTGCATACCTACCATGGCTATTTTGCCAGGATGCCACTTTACAGCTAGCTGATGGCGGTAATACTTACAAGTCACATGACCGTGGGGCTGGACGACTGGAGAAGGTTAATGTTTTCAAACTTAAAGTTGTACAAACTGGGTTTAACATCCCCAAAGAGATATTACCTTCTTCAATGTAATTGGCCAGAGCTGGAATGGAAAGGAGGCATCTAGATGCCAAAGCCCTAATGCAACAAAGGGGCAGAATTATGACACTCAACTGTAGATACAAACACATTTTTTGATCTGCAAAGTAAAAAGGTAATTGAGTGTTAAAGATGGGTCAGACCTATCTTCAGAATTTACACTTCACATGAATGAGCAGTGCATACATAAGCATTACCAAAACACAATATATGATTATGAAATGACAGTATATATTTCCCGGGCATAATTCAAAACAAAACAATTCCCCTTAGGTCACTGATATTACCTAATACCTAGGGAGCTTAGATACCACATGCTCTATGGCTTCTAGGGGCATTGTGAATATTTTGCATCATTATAAACTGCCGAATACAGTAAACTCCCCATTATCCAGCATTCAAGAAACCACAACTCTCAGGCAACCTGCATTTTTTTGGGCTGGTGGCTTGATGTGCATTAGAAAACTGTTAGTTGGTTGGTGCCCAGTACACAAAAAAATTCAATAGCAACTAAATTTATTTAGTTGCTAATGAAATTCTTTGTTTACATCCTGCTGCCGGCCGGCAGCTACATTCCGTGGTCGGCAGCAGAATGTACACAATGGGGAGAAATAGCCAGCCTGCTATTGTCTGTTGCAAATTGCAATAGCCAATAGCAGTCTGGCTATTGTTCCTGCCCACTGAACAGAGGAGCGGACCTGAGAGAGAACTTTCCTTCTCAGGCTCACTCCTCTGCTCACTGGATGGGGCTTCAATAGTCAGTCTGCTTTTGCAATTTGAAATGGCCAATAGCAGGCTGGCTATTGATCCCGGCTGCTTCCATTCACCTGTCAACTGCGGCTGGTTGCTTGAGAGCTGCTATTAACTGTTAAGCAACCACAAACTACAGTTATCCGGCACCAACCGATCCCCGTGGGTGCCAGATAACTGGGAGTTTACTGTATATTGTTTTCACTAAGAGCTGCTCGATAGACTTGCATTTTGAATAGAGGATCAGTATGGCATGACCAGGAAAGAGATCCTGGTAATAAAAACATATGGTTGCACTATATATATGTAAAGCTATACACCGATATTGATTTTTTTAAACATTACACATTTTGACAAGAGTGAAATTAAACTCAGGTTACTCTGCTATCAATTTAGCAAATCTGAACCAGCCCTGTGATTTCCAGATGGATTATCTAGCACGTTACATGAAATAGTGAATGGAACTGCTGAACTGACCCTTTAGTTCAGCAAATATGACTAAATGTTTTCTAGTGGTGTAATATGCATAGTGCGCTGCCTGTTAGGTGTGCTACTTCCCTAATTCATTGCAGGTCTGCACAAACTGACTGAAACCAATGAACTTGCTATGTAGCAGAGACTTTGGGGTTGATTTGCTAAAGGCAAATAGGCTGTTCATTTTGTAAGGAAATTTTCCCTTAGTCTGGTGAATGTGGTGAATATTCACTTTGCAAAAAACAAACAAACAAACAAACAATCAATCACATGCAAATAAAATAAAATAAAAAAACAATATTTGTGCATTCACATGATTGGGCAATGGAAGTCAGCAGAGTTTCACCTCATTTATTAAACTAAGGGAAAATTCCCTTGCAAAGTGAACAGCCCATTTTGCTTTAGTAAATCAAGCCCTCTATATTAGCAGCTGCTACTGATTTTACAGAGATTCTACATGCTGTATATTCAACATGCTTTCTACATGCTGATTCTACATGCTGTATAGTAATTCAATAATAAAAATATGTAATGGTGTATATAAACATGAAACACAGTTTTATCTACTCACAAAAAGTACACTGTAGTTTCCCCTTAGCAGACTGTATTATAGTACATATAAGGACAAAAACAAAAAAGAGACAAATGACCTTAAGCAGCTTTGAGCGGATGTAGAGTGAACAGTAATGAAGTCTTGTGGAGCACTGTCCAGGTTCCTGACTGATAGCTGATTATATAGGGATAGCTGTTTTTGCTATCCCTCTGGAGCTACTGCTTTCATGTCCATCATCTATTTGTTATTGTAGTGATTATCATTTGTCTAACATATATTTAATTTTCATCCTTTTATAATTACACCATCCAATATAATTGCTGGAACCCTTAATGTGTCCTGAGCTTTTATTTTTGCTGACACAAATGCTCAGAAATTGTTAGATTGTCACAAGTGAAATTCGCTCATCCCAAAGGGCTGAATCAGGTGTTCATTGTGGAAAGATATTTCCAACAGCAGCCATTTTTCGGTTTCAATATTTTTCATAGAAAGTTTGTTAAAGGCATAACAACCGTTGCACAAATAAAGCTATCACCATTTTCTACAGTTCTATAAAACTTTTATAGAAAAGTAATGTAATACAGTAGCAAAATACCACAGAGAAGGACTACTTCAATGAAGGATCATCAAGGGATATTACAGGACAAGAACCTGCCTGTGCAGTCCATGAGCTTAGAATAGATTACACAGCCAAGGTTTTCATTCACTGTTGTACTTTTATACTAAAGTTAAACATCATCTTATTAGACAAAACAAAGAGAGAAAAAGAGAGAGAGAAGGAATAGAGTAAGATAAATGGCTCCCACTGGGCACCATCCTTGAATAGGGCACCAAAAATATAGGCAGGAAGGGTCCCCTAGGTGCCCCCCACTCTTCCCATAGTTAGCAAAATTTCCCCACATTTGCATTCAATCCTTATCCATCAATGTCCGCGATAAGTTCAGTTGCAAGTGCAATATAGAGACTAACTTAGGTTCCCCTGGTATGTGCAGACAAATATGTTCAAAGCAAGTAATTGGCTTCTTAAGATCCTGCTGCCTTTTTAGAGTCAAGATCCAGTGGTGGATTTGTATGTATCTATATAACTCAGCCTCAGGGGGCTTCTTATGCTCTTTAATATACGCCCAAGTGGTAATCCTAGGAGAACGCAAAAAATCATGTACTCTGATACAAGTTTGACACCCACTAGCTGGATCTGAATAACCTGGCCTAAACATCGGTTACAAAAGTAGAGGGCGAAGTGGTAGGTGAAGCGATAGAAAACCCACTGAGAACTTGATAGAATCCAAAACTTTTAAGCCATGCTTCATAATAGGACTTAAAGTCCTAGGCCTATCACTGGGGAGCAGCCATGGTAAAGCTGAAAGAGGTATCGGAGAACAGGTAGAGATTTCCAGCAAGGTTCAAAAGGGCACTATTACTCTGTTGATGGAGAGTTATGAGGGGTAAAAGTTGAGATGTTTGGTAGCAAAGTATAGTATTCAGTTAACCTATTCCCCCCTTCTTTTCTATGTTTTCTATGCTTAAAAAGGGCTACCCTTGACTGTAAGGGATGCCAGACAAACATTAAGATGCTCCTTTGTAAAGATCGGATAACGAAAGATGATATGGTTACAGGTAAGGTTCTAAAATAATACAGGAGCTTAGAGAGCAGGGTCTTTTTATTTAGACATGTGCTTATCCCAGAGTTCAGCTTTAAGACTTATGGCAATAATTATGTAAATAATGTTGGCCATGGTAGCTCGGAGTTGCTAGCCATTCTAAATATTTTCAAAACAGGGGCGGATGGACCATATGGGCAATTGGGCACCGACTCCCCCCGCTGCCCTTTTCCAGCCCGCATGGAAGGAGACGCGGCTGTGTTAAAGCAGTGTCGCCTCAGATCCGGTCCAGTGCCCCCAATGGAGGAATGGTGCCCACTTCTGCCCCTGGTGAGACCTCCGCATCTTCCCCTGGTGAGACCTCTGCATCTACCCTTGGTGAGACATCCACATATGCCCCTGGTGAGACCTCTGCATCTGCCCCTGGTGAGACCCTCCGCATCTGCCTTTGGTGAGACCCTGCACATCTGCCCCTGGTGAGACCCTCCACATCTGCCCCTGGTGAGACCTCTGCATCTGTCCCTGGTGAGACCATCTGTATCTGCCCCTGCTTAGATCCTCTGCATCTGCCCCTACTTTTGAGCCTCCGCATCTGCCCCTGCTGAGACCCTCCGCGTCTGTCCCTGCTGAGACCCTCCGCATCTGTCCCTGCTAAGACCCTCGGCATCTGCCCCTGCTGAGACCCTCCTCATCTGCCTGAGACCCTCCACATCAGGCACCTGGCCTCCTGTGGGGCGGCCTGCTCCACCCACATGCTGGACATGCTGTAGGTGAGCACTCACCCATGTGCTGGCATGGAAGGAGCCCATTAATGCGTGGGTGTGGGTCACGTACCACAAGGATCAGACTGTGTGTGATGGCTGATCCCAGAGATGTTGTTGTGTATGTGTCATTCTAACTGCCAAGTCTGCCATTTATTGGTTATGGTCTACGGTCTGTCTTGTATTAGTTTTCCTCTGAGTTCTGCCATGTATTCGTTCTGGTTTGAGGTCTGCCATGTATTGGTGCTGGTCTGAGGTTTGCCGTGTACTGGTGCTGATCTGTGGTCTGCAGTGTATTGGTGCTGATCTGAGGTCTGCCATAGATTGGCTCTGGTCTGAGGTCTGCCATGCATTGGTGCTGGTCTGAGGTCTGCAGTGCAGTGGTGCTGATCTGAGGTCTGCTGTGCATTCTGCCATTCAGCTCATTTTTCAAATATTGGTCTAGATTTTGAAATTCTCCTACCAAATCCCAGGCAATACATCTTTTAGTGAAATGACCCACTATTTTAAAATGTTTATGCAGGTGGGGCTTGTATATTGAATGTATATTACAATGATTCCATGAGCACAGGATTATCTATTTAGTCTAGAATCTATCTGAAGCAAAAGATAAAGCACAGCCAAGCTATATTATATATACAGAAGAGGCTCTCCCATAAGGCCATTTTAGGTGATCGCCTAAGGCCTGGCAGTCATGGAGGCCTTGCAGCCTCTAGGGCAGAAGGGCTAACTCTCCTTTACTGCCGGGCAGCCAGGGGCTATGTTAAAAGAAAAAAAAACAACAGTTACCAGACCCAGGTGTCGCTGCAGATTGCTTTTTTCCTAAAATCCCCACTGACCCCGGGCCCCCTGCAATTGCACATGTATTGTGTCCACTGGAGTTCCTGTCTCTATGATCGTAATGCTCGCATGGATCCGCCCACCTGATGCATTTAGTCACTATTGACTTCCTCTGAGGCGACAGTATGCAGGTAAAATATCATGGATTTAATAGACCTTTAATGTCTCCTTAAAGACAACCTGTTACCTCCATATGCTGCCACATAGGTGCTTGTTAGCCCCACTGTTAGTGGGGCTAACAAGCAAAAGTTAAGTAAAAACAAAATTAAAAAAAGGTGTTAAAGTAAAAAACAATAAAATAAATTAAATACACAGCTGCTGGGGAATGCAGCCTAAATGGTGGACAGCGGTACTGACATGAACTGAGTGACCATTCGCTTACAAAGGTGGAAATGGTGCAACCTGTGGTCAGGTGCAAGCCTTTAGCCAATTAGGGCTTCACAAGGCGCACTGCCTTGTGGGGCGTTCAGCGGTCGAACAGGCCGCTGAACACCCTTATACTTTGTGTGTTCGGCGAGCACACTAACTAGCTGTGTTCGAGTCGAACTCACGTTCGACACGAACATCGAGCCCAACTCTACTACAGAGCAATTGGTTCATTTTTGCACACACATGATAAAATCGGAATTTTTGGCTAGAAAATGGCTTAAAACCCCCAAACAACTATATATTTTATGAAAGCAGAGGTCCTGTAGAATAAAAAATGCTAGCTGCAATTTTTAATGTTGCACGAAATTTATGCAAATGTTTATCAAACCAATATTTTTAGGATAACATACACTAAAATTAACTTTAGTGCACACAAACAAAATGTAATACCCATTTTTTTGGGCAAAATATAAAAGATGGGGTCGTGCCTGGTTAATAGATACCAAAAATGTCAAGCCTTAAATTTTACCTGCGCCCGTGAAAAGGCAAAAAACTACAGTACCCAAAATTGGCCAAAATTTGAAAAGCCTTTTACCGTTCATCATTTTAGAGTTAAGAATTAATAATGGCCCTAGAATTATTGCTTTCACTCCAACATGTGTGGTGATATGTAACATGTGTGGCAAAATCCTCGTTTTCGCACATAGGCGCACCCAACACGTGTTTGCATTTGTAGGTGCATGCAGGTGGGGCCGGGGACTTTAAACATTTTTGAAGCAGCAATTATCTTGGTATAACCACTTCAGGACATCGCCCTTTATATAAATATGCTGGTCCTGAAGTGGTTAAGGTTGCAATTTTTGGTCTTTATGATGGGCCCACAAACCAAACCCAGGCACACTTGCTCATCCCTATTCACTGCACCACATCCACCCACTGACCACCCACTGACTAGAGAAGATTGTTGTTGGGGCCAACTGGTGGGGCACTGTCACATCCAATGGGATAGCTGCCTATCTATAGCCAACATTAGACTATATAAATAAAATGCATCATGAGCTTTGTGTCCAATTTAGACATATAAAATTATAATGAACATATTCAGGAAGGAATACAAGGTCCTATTGGGAATCTTCTAAGTCTACAACGTTATGTATATAAACCTCTTTCACCAGCAGTCTTATATGTGTTTCTCTTAATCTACCAGCAGGTGAGGTTTCAGTTTTGTGTAATTTATTATATTTTTGTAAGGATTTGTTCAGGAAGACACAAACATTCAAAATTACATGTTTTTATTGAAAATGTAATTGTGGAGCCGAGTGAACTGTACAAACCCAAAACCAGGATCAAACTATTTGACACCTAGGCTAGCCTTGCATTATTTGAGAATTAATTAGGATGTATTTGCATTATTTGAGAATCTATTTTAGTAATAATCTTTACATACACAATAATTAAACCACATTATTTAGACAGGCCTTTCTTTTTTAAAATGTAATTAAAAAGCACACAAATGCAGAAAAGTATTATTATTATCATTATTATATTGTTTAAGGAAACTGTAGCTTTTTATTTTTTACCCATGCATGCGAATCATCTTAATGCAAGTAATCTTATCAATGTATAATGTGTTCAAAATTGTTTTATTTATAGTTTGTACTTGTATATGTACTGTATGTGGAGACTGGCATATTTCTCATTACATTTACAGGTTCTGCTTCCTTCTAGTATTACACATATATATATTGCACATTGGTTGTGCCTTGAAGATCCCTTATCTTACTGCAATTGAATCGAACAAAGTCAGACCAAGAAACAATAAATTATATGCAGTCTGTTATAGTGTGAAACATCCACAATGCCTCTGTGGGCACAGGAGGGAGATTGAGAGTAGTGTATTTTTTTATAATCGTTGGAAGACATAAGATTATCAAAATAATGATTTGAGTTGGTTATGCTGATATGTTCACGAATGCTTAATGAGAAGTCAAGTGAATCAGTTTTTCTGACTGAAACTTCCAACTGGACCAGACAAAAATGGAGGAGTCACTGGGATGATTTACTGCTGATGACTCATTCACTGATATAATAATAAGCTGTAGAACCTATAAAGAAAGGTGAAAAAGTCACCTAGCTCACGAGAATGTAAAAATATTACTATGCAATATTTCCTATTTACCTGATTATATTAAAAAAATAAAATTCTTTTCACCTATCTCTCCCAGGTTAAAGAAATTTGACTTTTTTCCCCATAAATTAAGTTGTTGCAATGTGGAAGTTTTCTATCATTTAATAGCAATGCGCAATATAACCACTGTGACCGATTTCATCCTTCTTGGATTTTATTATTTCTCCCAGTGGAACATGGTGATGTTTGTGGTCTTTCTGATCATCTTTCTCATGACTATTGTAGGAAATAGTCTCATTATTTTGGCAGTGAGAGTAAACATTCAGCTCCAAACTCCCATGTATTTTTTCTTATCGAACCTGTCAGTCCTAGAGATGTTTTATACATCTATTACAATACCCAACATATTGTCCTTAATAGCAAGAGGAACCAATGTGATCTCCTTCACTGGTTGCATTATCCAGGTCTACCTGTTTACACTGTGTGCCACCACTGAGTGCATCCTTCTGGCATGTATGGCTTGTGACCGCTACGTGGCCATCTGTCGGCCTTTGCACTACACTGTCATCATCAACAGGGAAGTGTGCCTGTGTTTGGCAGCACTTGCTTGGTTGAGTGGAATTCTAAACTCAACCATCAACACTGTGGTCACATCAGGTCTTTGGTTTTGCGGTTCAAACTCAATAGAACGTCTCTACTGTGAGGTTCAACCTCTTATCCATCTCTCCTGTTCTGACACCCACACAAGCCACATCTTGGCTACACTTTCAGCTGCTGTGTTTGGAGTTAGCTGCCTCATTTTTATCCTTATCTCCTACACTTTTATCTTGGTGGCCATCTTCAGGATCCCAAGTAGGTACAGCAGACAGAAGACCTTCTCCACTTGTGCATCTCATGTTACAGTGGTCGTACTGTACTTCGGATCCCTCATCTTTATGTACCTCCTACCTAACAATAGCTCTTCAGAAAAGCTGAACTCTGCAATCTCCATGATCTACTCGACAATCACCCCCATGCTAAATCCTATCATTTATAGTTTGAGGAACCATCAGGTTTTAGGGGCTTTGAAATGTCTAAGAGAATTGTTGTACAAAAACATGCAGCACATAACTGTTTAAAGGACAAATCAGGCAGAAATGTGGCATGTTTCAGATAACATTTCTTTACAGCTGGACTGGAAATGTAGTGAAATGCGGATCAGGTCAAGTACGACTTTATTTTAAAGTTCCATCCAGCCTCAATTGTTTGGTGTACTGTTCCTTTCTGTTAATACCCCCTTCCTGTCCAGGCCATTTTTCAGTATTCAGCACTGCAGTACTGAAATTAATTTTATACCACTTTTTTTGGGACACATAGAGCTTTCTTTTAGCGGTATTTAATCACCACTGTTTTTTTACAAATGTTTTACTCTATAAAGAAAAAAGTATTAAAAATTGTAAAAACAAACCCTGTTTTCCTACATTATGTTATGAAAGGATTTTGGTATGCTGGTGGCATCTACACTATATTGGCAAAAGTATTGGGACTCCCCTCCAAATCATTGGATTCAGGTGTTCCAATCCCCTCCATGGCCACAGGTGTATAAAGTGAAGCGCCTAGGCATGCAGATGCTTCTACAAACATTTGTGAAAAAATAGGTCGTCAGGAGCTCAGTGAATTAAAGTGTGGTACCGTGATAGGTTGCCACCTGTGCAATAAGTGCATCCATGAAATTTCCTTGCTACTAAATATTCCACGCTCAACTGTTAGTGTTATTGTAACAAAGTGGAAGCAACTGGGAACAACAGCAAGTCAGCCACGAAGTGGTAGGCCACGTAAAATGACAGAGCGGGGTCAGCGCATGATGAAACGCACAGTGCGCAGAAGTCGCCAACTGTCTGCAGAGTCAATAGCTACAGACCTCCAAACTTCGTGTGGCCTTCAGATTGGCACAACAACAGTGCGTGGAGAGCACCATAGAATGGGTTTCCATGGCCGAGCAGCTGCATCCAAGCCTTACATCACATTGGATGCAGTGGTGTAAAGCACGCCGCCACTGCACAGAGAAGTGGAGACGTGTTCTCTGGAGTGACGAATCAAGCTTCTCTATCCGGCAATCCGATGGACGTGTCTGGGTTTGGGTTGCCAGGAGAACGGCACTTGCCTGACTGCATTGTGCCACGTGTAAAGTTTGATGGAGGGGGGATTATGGTCTGAGGTTGTTTTTTTTAGGGGTTGGGCTTGGCCCCTTAGTTCCAGTGAAGGGAACTCTTAAGGCATCAGCATACCAAGACATTTTGGACAATTTTATGCTCCCAACTTTGTGGGAACAGTTTGGGGATGGCCCCTTCCTGTTCCAACATGATTGCGCACCGGTGCACAAAGCAAGGTCCATAAAGACATGGATGAGTGAGTTTGGGGTGGAGGAACTTGACTGGCCTGCACAGAATCCTGACCTCAACCCGATAGAACACCTTTGGGATGAATTAGAGCGGAGACTGCGAGCCAGGCCTTCTCATCCAACATCATACCTGACCTTACAAATGAGCTTCTGGAAGAATGGTCAAACATTCCCATAGACACACTCCTAAACCTTATGGACGCCTTCCCAGAAGAGTTGAAGCTGTTATAGCTGCAAAGGGTGGGCCAACTCAATAATGAACCCTACGGACGAAGACTGGGATGCCATTAAAGTTCATGTGCGTGTAAAGGCAGGTATCCCAATACTTTTGTCAATATAGTGTATATACATTTGTATGTGGGGGTATTTTAAAAAAAAATTATGGGTGACTTTAATTTTCTTATAACTTTAATTTTTTTTACATTTAACTTTATTGTTATCACAAAGGGGATAGCACACATATAGTGACAAGTGACAAGTCCTCTTTATGGAGACCATCAGCTTCTCTTTCCTGCTTCTGTAGCCAGATAATGACAGCTGAATGCGAAAGTGATGTAATATACATCACTCCTGCATTCAGAGAATAGGGAGGAATACAGAATACGGAATTTGGAATACAGAATTTGGAATACGGAATTTGGAATACGGAATTTGGAATACGGAATTTGGAATACGGAATTTGGAATTTGGAATATGGAATTTGGAAAACGGAATTTGGTATTCCAAATTCCGTATTCGGAATTCCATATTCCGAATTCCAAATTCCGCATTCCAAATTCCATATTTGAATTCCAAATTCCGTATTCCAAATTCCGAATTCGAAATTCCGTATTCTTAATTCCATATTCCAAATTCCGTTTTCCGAATCCCGTATTCCACATTCCGTATTCCAAAATCTGAATTCCTTATTCTGAATTCCGTATTAAAACATTCAGTATACCAAATTCCATATTGCAAGTTCCGTATTCCAAATTCCGTATTCCAAATTCTGTATTCCAAATTCCGTATTCCAAATTCCGTATTCCATATTCCAATTTCCATATTCTGAATTCCAAATTCAGTATTCCAAATTCCAAATTCAGTATTCCAAATTCCAAATTCTGTATTCTGAATTCCAAATTCCATATGTCAAATTCCAAATTCCCTATTCCGAATTCCATATTCGAAATTCCGTATTCCGAATTCCAAATTCCGAACTCTGTATTCTGAATTCCATATTCCCAATTCTGTATTCCAAATTCCATATTCCCAATTCCAAATCCCGTACACCGTATTCCGATTTCCATATTCAGAATTTCAAATTCAGTATTCCAAATTCAGTATTCTGAATTCCAAATTCTGTATTCTGAATTCCATATTCCGTATTCTGAATTTCAAATTCCGTATTTCAAATTTTCCAAATTCCCTATTCCATGTTCAAAATTCCAATTTCCGAATTCCATATTCCAAATTCTGAATTCTGTATTCCAAATTCCGTATTCCGAATTCCAAATTCTGTATTACATATTCGAAATTCCGAACTCTGTATTCTGAATTCCATATTCCCAATTCTGTATTCCAAATTCCATATTCCGAATTCCAAATTCCATATTCCGAGTTCCGTATGCCAAATTCTATATTTGAATTCCAAATCTTGTGTTAAAAATTTCGTATTCCAAAATTCGAAATTCCATATTCACAATTCTGTATTCCAAATTCCGTATTTCGAATTCCAAATTCAGTATTCCAAATTCCAAACTCCGAATTCTATATTCTGAATTTCGAATGCTGTATTCCGAATCCTGTATTCTGTATTCCGAATTACAAATTCCGTATTCTGAATTTCAAATTCCATATTCCGTATTCCAAATTCCGTATTCCGAATTCCGCATTCCATATTGCAAATTCCGTATTCCAAATTCCGGGATTCGGAATACAGAAGTCGGAATACAGAATTTGGAATTCAGAATATAGAATTCGTAGTTCGGACTTCTAAATACGGCATTTGGAATTCAGAATACGGAATTTGGAATCCAGATTTGAGAATATGGAATTCGGAATACAGAATTCAGAATTTGGAATACGGAGTATTGAATTTGGAATCTGGAATACGGAATTTGGAGTTTGGCATTTGGAATATGGAATTTGGAATATGGAATTTGGAATTCTGAATTCTGAATATGGAATTTGGAATACGGAATTTGGAATACTGAAATCGGATTTGGAATACACAATTTGGAATTCAGAATTTGGAATATGGAATTCAGAATACTGATTTTGGAATTTGGAATACGGGATTCGCAATACAGAAGTCGGAATACAGAATTTGGAATTCAGAATATAGAATTCGTAGTTCGGACTTCTGAATACGGCATTTTGAATTCGGAATACGGAATTTGGAGTACCGAATTTGGAATACAGATTTGAGAATATGGAATTCGAAATACAGAATTTGGAATTTGGAATAAGGAATTTGGAATATGGAATTTGGAATACGTAACTAGGAATTCGGAGTATGGAATTCAAAATACGGAATTTGTAATTAAATTATTTTGGAATTTGGAGTTTGGAATTTGGAATACGGAATTTGGAATTCGGAATACGGAATTTGGAATTCGGAATACGGAATTTGGAGTTTTGAATTTGGTATACGGAATTTGGAATATGGAATTTGGAATATGGAATTTGGAATTTGGAATACAGTAATTGTTTTTTAGAACTACATTTCTATTCAATGGGTTTCCATGTTTGCTTTAGTCCAAAATATTAGTTTTACAAGACTGTATTTCTACTACAACTGCTACTATATTTATTTTTAAATCCTTAATTTCTGCAAAATGATACATTTTGAATATTTAAAGAAGAACTTAATCACTTTGAAAAGTTAACCCTTTCAGTATCGCTTCCCCAACACTGCAAGGGTTAACTGCTCATTTTTTTATAGGGGCACAAATAAAGAACTAATCACCCACTCCTCAGTCTTGTGGCAGTGACCACTCTGCTCTCTCCCCTCCGATCCACTTTTGATGCGTCCCATGGTGTCTTCACATCTAATAGACCTATATTAGATGTGATGATGTCATGGGTCCTTAGACCGCTCGAGCCTTGGGGGAGAAAAGGTTTCCAGGACTGGTCCAGAAGCCAGTCGGGACTGCAGATCAGGTGAGCATTTCTTTAATTTTGCCCCCTAGACAAAATGACCAGGTAACCCTTGTACTGCAGGGGTGGCCCCAGTGCAAGGGTTAACTTTTCAAAATTCCAGAACATTACAAATTAAAGCTTAACTCTAGGCAATGAAACTCCAGGAACTGTTTTTCTTGCCAAATGATTTGTAATGTTGTAATGCGGGCTCCTATGCTACACAGCACAGCCAGGTTGGTGACCTCATATTTCCACACTGCAGTTGAAAATATAGCTTGGTCACTTGCCCATTCTGTTTCTTGGACAATACTTAAGAAATCTTATAACAACAGGGTCATCACTCAGCTCACTCTGCTATTTCATTCTATCAACATTTATGTAGTCAACATATGTGCCAAACAGCAAGGCTTATTTGACTCCTATTGCTGCTCCTTTCTCTTCTAGTGTGGGTAAGTGGTGCAGGTGATTACAGAAGAATGATCTCAAGAATAATTCAGGTACTTACTCATTGCATTTAATAATACTTTTTTTTAATGAATACATGACTACATGAAAAATATATATAGTTCATATAGTTCAGGTGTACTGAGATACTGTATATGACATTGTAGGAGTGTGTCTATGGGAATGTTTGACCATTCTTCCAGAAGCGCATTTATGAGTCCAGGTACTGATGTTGGACGAGAAGGCCTGGCTCGCAGTCTCCGCTCTAATTCATCCCAAGTGTGTTCTATCGGGTTGAGGCCAGTCAAGTTCCTCCACCCCAAACTCGCTCATCCATGTTCATGATTGTATGCTTGATTGTATACACCTCTGGCCATGGATGTGAATACAACACCTGAATCCAATGATTTGGAGGGGTGTCCCAATACTATTGGCAATATAGTGTGTATATATATGTGTGTGTATAAATGTATGCTTTTTGAATTATTATTATTTAATGTGTTACATTTGTCAACTGGCATTGTAATAATCCTAAATAAGATTTTTTTTTTATAAATCATAAAAAAATTACATTCACCTGCACATGAATAAAAATATCAATATTTTAGTACTGGAGCAATATATAATAGTGATTGACCATAGCAGATAATAGATTGCCACTGTAAATTTTCAAATGCATGCTAGAACAGGAAAGTAAACAAAGAAATTGCTTGCTGTAAAAATCTTTACTTTTTCTGTTTACATTTTCTTTTTATAACAAATGTTAAATGTGATAAGTACAAATTATATATACTACAACAGAGAAAGCCTGAATTTTATTTTGACCTTGATGCTAAATACCCTCTGTTATTCATTGAAGGCTTCAGGAGGATTATATAACATTTTGGGAAAAAAATACAACACAGGAGTCCAAAACTAGACAGCAAGATAGCAAAAACCTCCACTGCAACAATATATTTGCCCTTTGTACTGAGATAAGCTGGAATAAATGTTGACCAGACACTAAGGAAAGTTAACATGCTAAAGGTTATGTATTTGGCTTCATTGAAACTGTCTGGTAGGTTCCTGGCTAGGAAAGCAACCACATAACTTATGACAGCCAATACACTTAAATACCCTAATGTACAGTAGAACATGGCAACCGAACCCTCATTACATTCTACAAGGGTGGTGCCAACCATGACATGGTAGTTATGTTCCAAGAAAGGTGGAAATCTAGCCAACCAAACCAAGATAATAACCATTTGAATGGAAGTGGAAATGGTTATAATGATGATAGCCGTCCTAAAACCAAGCCATACCCTCAAATTGCTCCCCGGTTTGGTGACTTCAAAGGCAATGACAACTATGATGGTTTTGGCCAGGATGCAAGAAACACAAAATGAGAATGTAACTGCAAAAAGAAATCGTCGGACAGTACAGGTCAGTCTAGTAGGATATCCGATGAATACCAAGGAGCAGAGAAAGCAAAAGTTTAGGGAGAGAAGGATAAGGTAGCTTAGGCTCCGGTTGTTGGCTTTTACCACCACTGTGTCACGGAACTTAAAATATATGTACAGGACAATCAAAGTGATGACGGAGAAAAAGATGGAGAACAAGGCCATCACTAGACCAAGGGGTTCCTCATAGGAGAGGAACTCAATGGCTTTAGGAATACATTCAGTTTTTAAGCTGTTGGGCCACCGGTCTTCTGGGCAGACATAACAAGCAACAGAATCTGTAGAGAAGAATTACAACTGGTAAAAAGTTTATTGAGAGAAGTTGCCATTTCTGACTTTTTATCTGAAAATGCTAGTTGTTTCTTTAATTACTTTATTAAGACAACAGAATGACAACACATTTTCATAACTGTGATTTTTTTTTGCCCCATTACTTTTTATTTTTAAACATTGGTTCTAATCTGAGGTTGCCCTGCTAATTATACCCAAGACACTAAGATGGATAAATATATTGGTGACTTTCCTTGACTTTTGAACTATATGGAAAAAGAGAAGCAGTGGGGGGCGGAGCCTGTACCCACTCGTATGCCGACATGGAGCAGTCAGGGAAAGAACATCTTGCAGTATTCTTGTGATGGTGGTATTGCATTGGTGCTACAGTATATATTACCGTAGGGTCAATTTGAATGTCTAATTATGTACTAGTAAAAATTCTATTTTTTAAAACATTTTGCATGTGATTGCATATTGAAAGTATACGCAGCTTCCCCTGAATTGCTAACATTTACTTTGCTAAGTAAGCATTCACTAGGTAAACAACCTCTGTGCCGTTAATAAATCAACCCCATGTTTATTTGGGCAGTTTTGTTCTATACAAATATCTGTATTTTTATAATTTTTGGCAATAACTCTATACTGTAGACTTGATTTATGTAGCAAAGGCTGTTCACATAGCAAAATGAATAAGGTGAAGCTCACTTCACTTCAAGAATAAGGTGAAGCTCCGTTCATTTTAAGAAAAATTCCTGTTTTTTTACGTGCACACGACTGGGTACTGAAAATGAACACAGCTCAAACACAGCTTCACCTCATATACTAAACTACAAGAAAATTCACTTCATAAATTAAATTCTCAATTTGTTATATACTGTATCGGGGTGAGGTGACATCTTGTCTTGGGACCCCTATATCCTATGTTTTGCTCTGTCTTTGCTAAATAACCTTCAGCAAATTTTCAGCTCACGAGATTTCTGGCAGGATCAACAAGCAATGTTTGCACTAATTGAACAAATACAACATAATCCTTTAAATGGTATATTGACCAAAAATGAAAAGAATGGTATATATTTTAACTAATCAAGTTCATTGTTAGTGTTTACATACACTAACAGATAGGATTTTAATTTGGTATCACATTTTTTACAGATATAATTTGGTTTCTAAGGGTTTTTTTTTGGTATAAATAGTGATAAATTAAAAAAAAATATTTTCCTGTCATGTTTTCCAATGGAACATTTACCCCCTAAATATAACAGTCAAAGTCTATTGATGAAAACTATGGGGTCTATACACTAAGCTGCCGTAGGCAGCCGAGTGAACAACTGACCTGAAGCGAAGTGAGCCGAACGCTGTTCGGCTATTCATTTCAGACTGGTACGGCTGATTCCAGCCTTATATCGGCTGGAATCGGCCGTACATGGGGTGGCTTGGGGTCGGCCGAACATGCTCAGCATGTTCGGCCGACACGAAGTGCAGAAGGAGTTCGACTTAGCCGATACAACATCTGGATCGGCTAAGCCGAACCTCCGGCAGGCTACTTGCTGCTGTTCGGTCGATTCTCATAGATGCCGAACAGCAGTGAGTAAATAGCCGAATGCCACTGAGCGGCATTTGGCTCGGTTGTCTTGCTCGGTCCCTCTGTGGGGAAAATAGTTTAAAAAAGTTAAAAAAAACAATAGAAAACGATTGTGCGGAGCTAGCAGTGACAGCTAGCTCCGCCCAACTGTTTTCTATTGGCGGGCGGTTCTGCTGCTGTAAAAAAAAAAATTAAAAAAGTTTTGCCATAGGAATGCTTTGCTAGATTCCTATTGGCTATTTCAATTTGGAATAGCCAATAGCAAACTAGCTATTGCACCCGACCTCTGCTGCTGTCAATCACTAGAGGGGACCTGATGGAGAACTGCAGGTCCCCTCTGCTGATTGACAGCAGCAGTGGATGACATTTGCATTTACTGCGCTAGGGTCAATTGCTCACACAAATTAATGCATTGTCATTTGGACTTTTAGTAATTGCAAACTTTGTCCTTGCCAACTCAACCTAATCATGTCTTAATGTTATGCTACCACTTTACACAAACCAATCTTTAGAAGATTATTCCAGATGCCAGCTGTCATTGGCAGTAGTTCCAACCCACATGCCAGCAGAAAACTGCTAAAGCCACTGATTCCCAGTGCCATTTTAAAATTGCACAGGGACAAATAGTCGCTGTCCCAGCAGTAAAATAGCTTAAAAACAAGTCATTGTGGTCCTCTCTTGCTGCCTGTACTGAGAAGTAATTAATTATCAAGTTTCTGCATTCCATAGAAAGTAAGGGGAAAGCAGCTGTGATTTCAGTAACTTTGTGAAGTTTTAATATGAATTTGTTCACAATGCCTATAGCTACAGAGGTGAATGAGGGCTTGTTTAACTTGATTGTAATGCTTGTTGCAAATATGTAAACATTTTAATGTGTATAGCCTGGGCACAGGTTCACTTTGAAGTCCTAAATGTTATTATCATGACTGACTAAAAAATGCCCACCAAAGTAGGTAATTAAATCTTAAAGGTAATGCTGCTTGATCCATCAGAAATTTCAAATATATGGCAGACTTAACACAGAAAAAAAAAACCCTAAATGCAAACCAGAATATCCCAAGTAAAATTTCTCAACAGCCATAAGCAAAGCATGTTGAAACGTATAGTGGTGCTTTATTAAATACTATAATAGCTGCCTAAGGGAAAAATACGGTGTATTTTAGTGAGCATGTATTTGGAATTACTATTGTAGTGTTTATCTTAAGGCCATTTTTCATATGCCTGTCAAATTTTTACGTTTGCTCTTCCATATTAATATTATTGTGTTAAATGACGAGATATGTGTATTAGCCACAATGGGGACATCTCAGTGACTTCATGGAATTGCTCTGTCACTGTGGATTAACAACAGTTGGGCAAATATATCAGCCACACAGGGAGCACATTGCTTTCCATGAGTTGGCTGACTCACAGACCTGCGGTGTGAGAAGTAGCAGCAAAAACACAACCACTGAATAGCACTGAAAAGTAGTAAGCAGAGCTTAATTATGCAGTGTACAAATATGGCTGCCCCCACGTACACATACATTACTTAAATAAGGTTTTTAAAACATTAAGAAAATATTGATAATATTCTTAACATTACCCAATGTATTTTTCAATATACCTTTGGAAAATGTTAAATCCTTGAGCTTGGAAACAATTCAGCCAAAGTAAATAAGTATATCTGGTGACATATTAATACTCTTAGATGTGGGTGCCTATTGCCTTTATCTGCTGACCTTGCAATAATTTAAATTGTCTATATTTCACAATAAATGTATATTAATTAGATTTGACTGTAACGGATGTGTAGAGAAGTTACAGCATATTTTAGGGGTGTAGAATGGTCCTGTTATACTCACTTGTTTGGTTGGAGATGGTCCCTTCTGAACATGGCTTGCAGTCAAAGCAGCAGACAGGTTGACCTTTCAGTGGTGCCTTCCAGTAGCCAGGTAGACATACCTCACTGCAGATAGAGGATGGAACCTTAAATAAAAGAACCAAATAAATTTTTAAAATTATGCTTTACTTTGATTTATGTTTTTAAGTTTGTTTGAGTAGGAAATACCTTTTTAGAAGAAACCATTTTTTGGGGCATTTGGATGATGACTTACCTTCCCTGGCCCTCCATACCAGTAGATGGCACTCACATTAATGTCGAGTTTCTCACTGGCATTGATGTTTTCATTAAAGATCCCAACTCTCACATGTTGACCATTGTTACCCTTTATGTGCCAGTTCATAATGTCAAAATACCCATACATGTCTCCATTGGCATCGAATGACACTGCTTCCCCAGCCGTGTTGATGAAATAAACTCTCTTTAAGTAATACAGGAGCTGTTGCAGAAATAAATGTTTCAGAAATGTGCTTTTTCATTTAAACATTGCATAATTTTTAAAATAACAAGAATCACAGTACGTAAACATAAACCAAATTCCCTATAAGTAGTACAACCCCTACATATGTAGGAATATAAGTAAATATTAGGGATGCACCGATACTGGTTTTTCGGTATCGAGTACAAGAACCGATATGTTTTTTCCGGTACTTGCCGATACCAAATACCAATACAGGAAGTCCCATTAATGAAGTCGGGCAGTGTGTAATGACTTGCCACCTGTCTTCCTGATTAGCCAGGAAAGCAGGCCGCATGTAATGACTCACCACCCGGCTTCCCGATTAGCTGGGAAGCCGTCTCCCTGCTCCCTTGTCACCAGGTGACTGGGAAGCATGGAGCACACTTTCTGGCCTATCAGGAAGCCGGGGGGCAGGTCATGACTTGCCTCCTGGCTTCCTGATTGGCCAGCTTCCCATCCAATCAGGAAGCTGGGCAGCGAGTCATACATGGCACCTGGCTTCCGGATTGGCCAGGTGATGAGGAAGCATGATGCCGGCTTTCTGGCCAATAAGGAAGCGAGGGGCGGGTAATGATTCACTTCCCAACTTGATTGGCCAGCTTCCCAACCAATCATGAAGCTGGGTAGCGAGTCATTACACGCCGCCAGGCATCTTGATTTGCCGGGAAGCCGACTCCATATTCGCTTAAATACTCGGTATCTGCACAGATACCGAAATTAGTATCAGTATTGGTGCATCCCTAGTAAATATTAAAGCTGCCCAATATTTTCTAAATATATCACTAATTACATATTTAACTATAAAATACACATATGTGTTAGAAATGTAAGATGGAAGCTTCCTTTACTTGACTCAGCATAGTCCCAAAGCAGTCAAAGTGAACCTATTTGGCTTCAATCAAAATGATGTCACTGCTGTAAAATTAATATGCAGCTCAGGAAACAAAAGACTCACTATAAACAGAGCCTGCCAAGATTGGTCACTTGCTGTGGCCAATAGGAGGAGCTCCTTCCATCCCTGCTGATTTTTTCTTACTTTTTAAATTATGAAGTGTGTGAAAAGAGCTGTCAATTTCCACAATGGAGATCTCACTGTTGGAGTATCAAAAAGGAGTAGAGACACATAAGTAACCAGCGGTTGGCATTGCCATCCAGGCAACACCTATATCTAGACTACCACTTGTGGGTAGACAAATACTTTAAACTGAATTTAATTTTGGGGGATAGAAAGTCTAATTTATGCTGACTAGCTTCTGAAGAAATGTCTCTAGGAAACCCAAGTGGTAAAACGTACTTGCTGAAATATTCATTACGACATTATAGCAATAGCCTTAGCAGGGTGCCAGAATCAGGTGCTATGCTATGTTTTTTTTTTTTGCACCAGTGTCTCCAAGAGAGTAAAGAAAATGGTTGCTGGTTTAACCCATTGGTGTCCATGCAAATTTAAAATTTAAAGTAGGGGTAAGCTCTAAGTGAATTATATTATGTTTGCTTAAGGACTGTGCATAATAAATAATTGTCTTTTTAAAGAAAAGAACTTGTGTTCACCAGTTTTTTTATCCTCTGTTGTATCTCAGCACTGCTGATCTCCTGCAGTAACTTTGCACACTTCCTGTCTACATGCATGTGTTCCAGCGAAGGCTATATGACATTTCTCAGGGTGGGTCTCCTAATAGTAAGAAAAGTGCAACATGGCTGCATAACATGTCGTAAAATGGCCTGAACAAGCACCTTCGTGCCAGGATGACCAGCTATTATTTTAATGAAAGATGCAGATTTAAAAATATTAAAATGAAAATACACATGTTAAAGCTTATATGAGAATTTAGTGATTGGGTTTACATATATTTCAAATCATGGTTTTCAGGAATCAACATACTACGTCCTCATATTTCACATCAGTTACCTGTCAAAGACACACATATATATATATA